AGCCCTTCAGAGTTGCCCTGAAGAGAGCTGGAATTTTTTTACCCCTACTCCCCCGTCACTGGGCACAGGCTGCCCTGGGGTGGGGCATGTCCTCAGGCAAGATGACTCTCAGATTGAGAGCCATTCCTGGCCAGGGATGCAGTGGAAATCTGCCAGCCACCAGTACTCCCAGTCTCCACAACGAACTTTACAGTGTGCAAATCCACATTCCCCTGGAATCTAATAATAATCCACCTATTTTCTTCACAATTAGAATGAGAAACTGAGAGTCAGTCACAGCAAATAAACTGATAGAAAGTGGTGGAGGTGAAACTCAAGGCCTAATCTTATGATTCCAACTCCTGTTTCTTTGCCTGCTCTCTACCAAACATTGCAGGGAACACACAAACCTCAGGAACAGACAATCTATCCAAGAACTAGAGAAGGGGCGGGGCAGTTTTAGATTTTGAGGCACATCTGTTTTGGAGCTTTCCTCGAGCTCAGGTTTAGCTAGATTTGGGACCATGGAGTCCACTTGGAACCACCATTTGTGAAGGAGTCTTACCTTCTACTCCCGTGGGGGGGAAAAAAAAGGCCACTTAACAGCAACCAAAGCCCCATGTTGGATATTATTTGTTGACATGAGCATCTATTCCTACCTTTGCTTATGTTCCCTCCCAGCGTCTGGAAGGCAGCCCGGGTTCTGGGTGAGATTTAAGTTCTGCCAGTGAAATGCACTTCCATGATATTTGGAAGGCAGAAGAGGGATGCAGACTGTTTTCCCACCACTGGGAGAGACGACTAGCAAGCACTGACAAGAGGGGTAGCAGCAGCTGGACTCCATTCACTGCCTGGTCACCAGAGACAGGAACAGAGGAGGCAGGAACAGAGGAGGCAGGAGCAGCAGCAGCATTTTCCTGACCTCCAGCTTGTAGCTATGGTGGTTGGTCTTGAAACCAAAAAGTTAGGAGCTGTCCCCTAGTTTCTACTCCTCCATCCCTTCCAAAATTTTGTAAACACTTAATTTCCAGTATTAAGCCAATTTCTTTCTGCTTGAAATACTTACAGTGGTTTTCTTTTTCCTGTGCTGAACCTGATACAGCACCCCAAGCATGCAGCCAGAGTCACTGACTCTGCTTTCCACACCCACACACATGACACAATCAGAGAAAAAATGCTTTTTGTGTTGTTTTGTTTTGTTTTTACCAGGAGAGCAACACAGAATGAAAAATCCCTAAGTGTGAGATGATCCTGCAGGAAACCAGCGGCAATGGGCTGACTGGAGATTGCTTCTTGGACAAGATGGGCTTGGAGCCTTGTCTTGCTATCCAGATTGTAATATTCAACCTTTCCAACCATGATGCTTGTGGCCAGCTTAGACCTATCCCCCACCTTTTCGATCTAACATCTATGGAGAGGGAAGGCATGAAATCCCACCAGGCGGTCAGGACACTTCCTAGCCCACTGTGTTGACAAGATGCTTCTCTAATAAAGCAGATATGCAGGAGCCCATGGCCGTTGGCAACTGGGCAAGTGTCAGCTAAAGTTGGAGGCGCCAAAAGCACGGTGAACAAAAGAAGAGCGCTTTATGGTCCCCAGGAATCCCTCCCCCAAGGAACGGAGAAGAGCAGTAGACTTTTGGAAATTAAGAGTCATTGGCTTTGTAGCAAACAAAAGCAAAAAGGCTCTTTTCAAACATAGGTGTCATTTTTAGAAGAGGACAGAGCCAAAGCTGCCAAGAGTCTGTAAGCCCCGCAAATTCAAGCATGAAATGGATATTCAAGGATAGCTTGCCCACAAATGCAGAGCCGGGGACACAGAAGATGCTATGAAATTATCGGCTGCATGATACACAATGTAAGAAGGGATTAAAGTAATGTGCAGGCACCTTTCATTTTTAACAAGAATCATTAAAATATCCAGTTTCTACTTCATAAGGCTGTTTCCATGTTCCAGGCAACAGCTGGTCCCACTTTATTGCTGTGGGTACAATGAGTTCTAGTAAATCCCGTGTAATAGATGTATTCATATGCTCTGTTCTTTTAACAATCTTCTTAATTAGGGTGCTGTCCTTCCAAGCAAAGCATTTATATAGTTATTTTATTGCATTTGAATACAGTGTTAGCTTCAATGGACTGAATATAATTTTATGGGTTTTTTAAAACATTGTTTTACAATGAAGGGAATTTATTTTATCATCAGTATGGAGTTATTCCCATGGATATTTAAAAGCCATTGGTACAGAGGTTTATGAATCTCTGTTGAGAAAGAAAGATCCTAAAGAGGTAGTAGACAGTTGTAGTTTGGCCACTTATTAGCTTAACTTTTTTGAACCTTAATGGTCTTATCTATTAAATAGGTCAATATCTTCCTTGCCTACCTCATAGAGTAATTGCAAACACCAAATAAAATGTTATACTTGAAAGGGCTTTATAAAGCATCAAGACTTAGGTGCATTTCAAGGGCCGTTACCCTCCCCATGGAAGCTCCTGACCTCACACCCTGTGTGGAGATAGTGCTGGTGCTTCAGTTGTAGAGGCATTAAGGTAGCCTTAGACTTTCAGGATGCATGGGTGAGGAACTGCAGAGAGAGCTCTGATTGTTTAGAAAAGATGATGGAAGATAACCAGAGCTGCGAGCCTCAGGCATTTTGGGACTGAGGGACAGCAGCGGACAGATGTGGGGTTGATTAGGTGCTAGCTATGGGTACCCACTGATACCTAAGTCTGTGTCTCCTCTCCATTATACCAAGTTATTTTCCAGGCCTCCACACATCCAGCCTCACCCAAAAACCCATTCTTACCTACATGAGCGTTCCAACAAACAATTCTTCATTTAAACAAAGGAATGTTCTGGAAAATTCTTTCTGTACCCTACAGCACTAAGGTTCCATTTATTGGGCTCAGATGTCCTAATCCTCCTTTACATGTTGACAAAGTGGAACTTGGCTGACTTCAGATTTCAGCTACCCATGCACATACAATTAGATATATCCTCAGCAAGGTAATTTTCAAATTTGAAAGACAAGGATTTGTGAAACAGGCCCTAATGTCTTTTGAATAATACTACATCACCAGTACTCCAATATCAATCTACATCATTTTCTTTATCATTATGCATCATAGAAGCAATGGAATATTAGTTACCTTTCAAATCACAGGGTGAAATCCATTGTGTTGTCCGCAAAACATTCAATAAGAAAATTCAACTATTTTAAGCCCAGCTATTTTATCTACTTCTTTTAAATCTACCAAAGTTTCAGTGTATTCTCAAGTATATAAGGTTGGAGGCAGAAGTAGTCGAGTAGAAAGATCTGTGTTCGGAGTCAGAAAACATAGGTTTCAACCTATTTCTAAGAATTAGTAGCTGAAGAAATTTGAGCAGGTTACTCTATCTCTCTGGGCCTCAGTTTGCCAAGCTCTTAAAATGAACATGACGACATCGACTTTACAAGGCAAGGATCAAATGAGATACTGTGGATGAAAGAGCTTTGAAAAAATTGAAGTTAGAACCTTTCTTTATTATGTGTTGTAGTCATGGACAAATGTCCTTATTTATTGGTATCTCATTGATATTGGAAAATTTAAAATGTATTCTTACCTCAAATACTTATTTACAAACTCCTTAGCTGAAGATCCAGGTTAGAAGCTATCCTTTCCTCCTTGGCTCCCCTGCCCTCTTCTCTAGTTGTAATATTCATTTATTTTTTTCTTCTGCTTTTTCTCCCCAAATCTCCGGCAGTACATATTTGTATATTCTAGTTGTGGGTCCTTCTAGTTGTGGCATGTGGGATGCTGCCTCAGTGTGGCCTGACGAGCAGTGCCATGTCTGCGCCCAGGATCCGAACCAGCGAAACCCTGGGCCACCAAAGAGGAGCACACAAACTTAACCACTTGGCCAGGGAGCCAGCCCCCCTAGTTGTGATATTTAATTTAATTGTGGTCATGCCCTTCTTGGCTGACCTCTCAATTAAAGATCAAAGCACAGGGTCTCACTGCCAATTTTAAATCCATCTAACTGCTATCCAGATATTGAGGCTTTGTATATCCCAACGTGATCCTGAGAATCTAAGTCAGAGGAAGAGTAAAGGGAATGTGGGGCAGTCTTGGAGCTCTGCGTGAATGAAGAAGAAGGTACAAGGGCTACAGCAAAGTGTAAAGACCGAGTGATTTTCCAAATCACAGTCTTCCTGAGTCCCAGGGTCCATTTGCCTATACAAGTCTAAAACTGAATACCAAACTCTTTCTTTTAATCTGATGGAGGGTGAAAGAAATGTTAATCTATTGATAAGTCTAGGAGGTAAGTAGAAAACAATGTGAAAGCATAGTTTCTATCAAATGAGACCTACTGTAGGCTAAGTATCTGTTGGGGTTTGTGGGGAGCCAATAATTAGCACCATTTTTTCTTGCCCATGCTCTGAACCAATTGAGAATTAAAACGAGAGGTCAAGGTAGGCAGAGAACCAAAACATCAACTTTATTATTGATAATGTTAAGAACGAGGCTAATAACTGTAAGTTAGTGGGCTTCCTAATACTTTCTAATATTTAAGAGCATGCTTTATATCTACAAGCAAATGAGCCTCCTCTCCTGTGGACTTACTCCATGTCTGAGAGCAATAGTGACTTATGCTCTCTGCAAGTGGGCTCCCTCCCAGGAGAAAGAGAAGGAGGAGCTCAGGAATGCAAGCCCAGAACCTCCTTTCCAACTTGCCCTGAGGAGGAATAAGAGATGAAGAGCAGAGAAAACCCCAGAATGTTATGCTAGTGGAAGTCCTTCCACACAGGCTGAAACATCAACTCTGGGAAAAGAAGCATTCCTCTATAATAGATCGACCTTCTTTCAGCCTGAAAGTAAATTCCTGTAAGAGGAGTTAACTCTGAAATCCAGAATATCACACAACTGTGCTTCTTAAAGATGATGACTTGGATGAAACATCCATATTTTAAGAATACTTATATACTGCAAAATATTTGGCTGCCACATGTTTCTTCTCCTTTCTTACAGTGCTTTCTTCTCTAGGCTATCTATCCTGCTAATTATAAAATCATCCATCACCTCGAGTCTAATAAGACAACAGTTGAAGAGCAATTGAAAACACAGAGATTGAGCAATGGCTGGTTTCCAGAACACAAAATCGACGCTACGAAACACTTTGCAAGATGGCATATTTCTTTTCTCCCTCAGCCTGGATTACTTCTTAGTGTTCCTAATTCTGCTGGCAAGAGTCCTGTTGAATTCAGGAAAACCATATGAAACCCATCCTGGGCGTTGCCAAAATAAATTGTTAATCATATCAGATGTAGCACCAAAGAGTGTTCCATCATAGTCAATTTTCTGTTTTGTAACTGTCCCCTTGGCTTCATTCAGGATCTGCCAAGAGGAAAGGAAGCCCATATTGTACATGCCACATCTCATTATCCACTGGAGGAGAGAGGACGGTGGGGAATGCTCATGGGGTCAAGGTGAGTGTACTCCTAACAGTAATAAGAGATGTTTATTACAGCCCAATTTCAAATATCCCTCTGGGGATATAAAGAGTTTGGGATCCACTACTATATGCATTACAGCTTGAGAGTATGAGAATCTCTTGAAGGTTCAATTTTCACAGAGTGGGGATGACCAGCAGGATTTCTGCCTGAGTGTTTCAAAAACGGCTTCTTTAAATACAAAGGTTGTATTAAATGACTGCAATTGTTTCCACTATCTGGTTCTATTAAATGGAACCAGCTCACCTGGCACTTAGTTATCTGGACTATTGCGTATTTCTCCATTATAGGAGAAAGAAAGAAGCAAATGACAACCAGGGTAGAAAGATCCAGATATTTTTTTTCTAATGGATCAAAAGCAGAATAGATCAGCAAAAACCAAAATCTGTCCTAGGGTAGCTCACATAGACACATCTCACCTAATCTCAATAGGCTTTTGGAAAACAAATTGAATCCCTTTGAATTGAATCTGCACCCCCACCACATACAGAGTATTCTACAGGTGTTAAAATGAGCACGCTGGGGGCTATGCGGGTCCTGACCATTAATTATGGTGTAGGACTTCTCTATTTACCAAGACAAGAAATGGACTGATAAGAAGGGGATTTTGTCCAGGCCTCAGATACACAGATAAATAAATTCTTCATCCTTCTTTGGGCTTCCATTTAACCAAATAGAACAGTTCAACTGCTTTGCAAAATAAAACACAAAGATTGCTGTGCTGTCATTCTTAAAAGCATGCCAGTTCTGGTGGCTCCCATCATACCTACTTCTAGATATACATTTTGATTTCGGTCTTAATAAGGCAAGTTCTATTCACCAAGCTTCATTTCCCATGACTCATTTAAACAGGGATTTATGCATGCTGATTTGTTCCAGTTTAGGCATCTCACTGCTCTTCTGAATTTGGACATGCACCTTACCTGAGCAGGGATCATGAGTGTAAGTCTAAAGTAGAATTGTCATGTTAGAAAATTTCTGACACTCTACGAAGTCAATTTAAGCTTACTGGCATACCCAGGGATTGGAGATATGACACCTGGAGGTGGTTAGCTGTTGTGTGAGGAGGAATTTATTTAGCAAACCCCAAAGGAAAATGCATCCCAGCAAAGGAGTGTGGATGGATACCACTTGGCTGTACTTTCACTGTGAAATTTCCGAATCTGAACTTTCAATCCACCAGCTCGGGTTCCAGCAATGGAGTTCCTGTGTGTGGAGGAGAGGAGGGAGAGAATAGACGGTGGACATTTTTCTGTGGAGAAGTTAAAAACAATAATAAAGCCGACAAAGAGATGGGCTACTTTGTATTATTACCATGTCCTGGACACTTCTCAACAATGTCAGAGATAAAATACATTTTCTCAAAAAGATCTTCCATTGGTTTAAGTTCTATACAAGTATTGCCATTACTGTTGAGTTTATAATATACAGGTAAGTCTCAAATTAGCACATTTTGCTGCTTATCCTTTAATGAACACTGTATTCTGCAGGGAAGTTAAATTGCAGAGCTCCCAGTGGTCAGCTGCCCTGACACACCAGATACAGCTACATGCACTATTTTGAAAGTCAGTCCATGGTTCAAAGAGTTGCAGATCCCTTTGGATGCAGTTCTGTCTCCACTCCCTGTGGCACAAAGTTCACTAAAAGAAAAATTTCACTGTTTGTGTCTCTCTCTAGCCATTATGCTTATTCATTTAATTTCATGATTTTCCCTGAAAATAATTTGCATTTGGGGAGGATGAGTCTTAAAAGATGACCCGTTCTGGGTATCAAATACACTAGGTATACCACTGGGTTCCAGGCAAAAATACACAGTGTTTCTATTCTGAAAAAGTACAAAAAGTGATCAAGGGGAAATAATGGTTTATTTGTGGATGAATATATGAATGGACAAATTCTGCTCCATTATAGCTTTTGAAGTAGCTTTTAAGAAAGATCTACAAAAAGGAGCAAAATGAAAACAAAACACAACAACTACAGGCAATTCAAGTTAGAATGAGGAGGCAGACTGGGGTAAAGAAGAGGAGCACATACGCATACTGTGAGTCTTCTGTGATTGCAAAGACTAAGCCTGTACTTTGGTTCTGAGCTTCCTGGTGGTCAGAGTGAATATGCAAGGGAAACCATATGCAATGACTGAAGTAATATAAGGTGACAGAGGCAAAGGAGCATTGACTGCAAGTACTCAACAAGCGTGTCCCTGGAGGTCCTACGATCCATAATCTGTGATCAAAGCTATGGATAATTAAGGCTAATTAATGAATAATTACAATAAAATGCAAAAATGTTGCTAGTGGTTCATACAGAATGGCCTGCTATCTGCAGGAGTTTGCTAACTTGATCGCAGAGTGAGAAGAAACCGAGAAGGGCTTGCAGACAAAGGGTATGGGCTATTCAAAAGTGCCGAGGAATCAAAGAAGACGCGAGTTTGAGAAGTACGAGCACTTCAGTGTGACTGGAATGGAGCACATAATTCAGGGTGCAGCAAGACTTGAGGCTGGGAGGCAGCATCCAGCTTTTGAAGGACAGCAGCCTAGCCAAACTATGGCCCTCGGGGCAATCTGGCTCCCTGTCTGTTTTTGTAAATAAAGTGTTATTGGAACATAGTCATGCCCACTCTTTTACATATTGCCAATGGCTGCTTTCTCATTCATTACTATGGCAAGGTTGAGTAGTGGACAGAGACCACATGGCCAGCCTAAAATCTTTACCATCTGGTCCTTTACAGAAAAAGTTTGGCAACATCTGATCTAGAACATACTAAGGCGTTTGAAGTTTATCCTATAGGTTAAAGGGAAACAGTGAAGGATTTTTAAAAGTTAGGAGAACTAGCAGGGTGCTCTTGGCAAGTCTACTTCACAAATACTAGTCTCAGTTCCTTAAAGGTAAAAATGATTTGACGTGCCCCCAAACCCATACACCTCAGGGAAGACAATGTCCTAGCAGAGTGCACGCAGGAGTTTCAAAGAAGAGTTGATTGTGTACCAATCTGCTTTAGATAATGAACTATTTAGTCACTGACTTCCCAAGCAGGGCAGATTTTTTTTTTTTTTTAAGATTATGATAGATTACAACCTTGTGAGATTTCAGTTGTACATTATTGTTAGTAATGTTGTGGGTACACCACTTCACCCCTTGTGCCCTCCCCCCACCTCCCCTTGTCCCTGGTAACCACCGATCAGTTCTCCATGTCTATATGTTAACTTCTACCTATAAGTGGGGTCATATAGAGTTCATCTTTCTCTGTCTGGCTTATTTCACTTAACATAATACCCTCAAGGTCCATCCATGTTGATGCGAATGGAGCAATTTGGTCCTTTTTTATGGCTGAGTAGTATTCCATTGTGTATATATACCATATCTTCTTTATCCAGTCATCAGTTTCTGGGCATGTAGGTTGGTTCCACATCTTGGCTATTGTAAATAATGCTGCAATGAACATAGGGGTGCATGGGATTCTTGGGATTGCTGATTTCAGGTTCTTAGGCTAGATACCCAGTAGTGGGATAGCTGGGTCATAGGGTATTTCTATTTTTAACTTTTTGAGAAATCTCCATACTGTTTTCCATAGTGGCTGCACTAGTTTGCATTCCCACCAACAGTGTATGAGGGTTCCTTTTTCTCTCCAACATTTGTCACTTTTGGTTTTGGATATTTTTGCCAATCTAACGGGTGTAAGGTGATATCTTAGTGTAGTTTTGATTTGCATTTCCCTGATGATTAGCGATGATGAACATCTTTTCATGTGTCTCTTGGCCATACTTATGTCTTCTTTGGAGAAATGTCTGTTCATGTCCTCTGCCCATTTTTTGATCGCTTTGTTTGTTTTTTTGTTGTTAAGCTGTGTGAGTTCTTTGTATATTATGGATATTAATCCCTTGTCGGATAAGTAGCTTGTAAATATTTTTTCCCAATTAGTGGGCTGTTTTTTTGTTTCAATCCTGTTTTCCCTTGCTTTGAAGAAACTCTTTAGTCTGATGAAGTCCCATTTGTTTATTCTTTCTATTGTTTCCCTCATCTGAGGAGTTACAGTGTCCGAAAAGATTCTTTTGAAACTTATGTCAAAGAGTGTACTGCCTATATTCTCTTCTAGAAGACTTATTGTTTCAGGCCTAATCTTTAAGTCTTTGATCCATTTTGAGTTTATTTTTGTGAATGGTGAAAAAGAATGATCGATTTTCATTCTTTTACATGTGGCTGTCCAGTTTTCCCAACACCATTTGTTGAAGAGACTTTCCAAGCAGAGCAGATTTTCAAAGCTTCAAATCTTCCAAGATTTGAATCGGGAGCAAGTTATCCACCAGCCTTCAGTTGAGACAGGCTCCAGGCAACCACATAAGTAGCTGAGACACTTTATTTGCTTAAGAGAATCATTTTGTGTGGCATCCGCATGTTCACGAGGCATATAGCATAGCGGTTAGAAGCACAGCAGTGGGGTCTGCTTCTCAGTCAAAGCCACCTATCAGCCATGTACCTTCAGAGGCAAGGCTCAGTTTCCTCATCTGTCAAATGCGGATAATAATAGCAGCAACCCTATAAAAAGGTTGTTGTGAAGATTAATGAGTTACACAGTTTCTATCACACAGTAAGTGCTCAATAAATATTCGTCATTCCTATTATAGGAAGCAGTTAGCTGGAGTTGAATCCTGGCTTTAGACATGACATTACATTATATGACATTACTTTACATTATATCTCACCACGTGACTTGCACATTTGAAAGTAAAATGAGAGATTCTCTTCTGTTCCGGCTACTTGACAGCTATAGAAACAAGGAAGTGGCTACAAACCACCAGAGAATGGGGTAGAAAACTGATATTTGAAAATAAAAGATAAATCTTTTTTTGATCGAAGACCCAGCTCCCAGTATTTGTCAGTTATATTAGTTCCCTAGGTCTTTAATAAACATTACCACAAACTGGGTGGCTTAAATCAATAGAAGTTTATTCTCTCACAGTTCAGGAGGCTGGAAGTCT